CTTTCTATCTAGCCATACAAATCTCCATCCGGTCGACACATTTATTGATTCGAATAGATTAAATTTGCAGAAATAGAGCAGGCTCAATGGTTTGTGCCTTAGATGTTGTTTTGGATATTGTTTTGTGTCCATTTTATTCCAGCAAGTGTAAGTAGGTATGTTTAGGTTGTTCTTGGTTCATTTTTCTTTCATTGAGTCGTATTTTGTATTTTGGTCAACTATAGGCTCAACATCCAATTTAGAACTCGTTCAAATCCAACAATTCTCAATTTCAGAATTCAAAAAAAAAAAATATGTTTCATGCCCAAGTGTTGTGCCATTCATTCCATTTAGATTTGCAAAATAAAACTCTGTTTAGTAAATTTCAAGAATCAAACCCCGATCAAAGTTGTACAAAAGAGAGTTGAAGCTATAGGAGCCCAACTCCCAAGAAAAAATACAAGAAAAGAAAATACATAAAATAAAAAATATTGAAAAAAAATACAAAAAAAAAATGAAGGATTTTCTCAGATTCCGACGGCAGCCTGGTGGCAAAGGTTACAGGCCAACCTCACTTGCAGATAGTTTCATCGCTTGAATCCACTGCCAATTGCCCGCCTCACGATGCTCATTCTGGGGGGGCGCCTTGAAGACCTTGCCTCAAGATTTGTGGGGCTTCTGAAAGAAATGTACCCCTGTTGGCCATCAAAGGAGGTACACCGAGGTGCCAATGCTCTTTCCATGTTTGTTTCCTGGCACGTCAACTCTTTGTGCTACCTCTTCAAATGACTAATCTCCTGCCGCGCATCTTGATACATACGTTGGTATAGGGAGAGTTGTGCATTTCAACATTGTACTTCATTTGCTCTACTTTGTAGTTGACGGGATATATTGGATATTGTAGCTGCGATCTCCATGCATGAGTTCAGAGTATGAGAGCTGGCGTCAATGTTAGATTTTGCTACCAACATTTGTTTTATTGGCGTTGTAGGGAGATGAAAAACAGGGGTAGGGGCACCCTGCAGAGGCTCAGAGGAGCTAGTGTTAGCAATCTCTATTGGCGTGGACGTGTCATTAAGGTCTAGAGAAAAGGAAAGAGGACGGCAAGAAGAGGCCGTGTCAAAAATGAAAAAGCTAAAGCGATACCAGACTATATTTGCAGCTTTTCCATTCCTACTCTACTTTCTGTTATCCCTTTCCCTCACGAGTTGTGGTTAAAAAGAAGAT